AAAAAAAAAAAAAAAAAACACAAACCAAAACAAAAAAAAAAAAAAAAAAAAAAAAAAACTCCAAAAAAAAAAAAAAAAAAGAGGAGAACAGTCAGGAGAAGGATTTTTTTCTGTTAAAAATCCCCTTTAATCAAGAAGTATGAAGTGTTAGAGGATGCGTAACAAATGGAAACTGAACCTCAAGTGAGAGCCTGTGAACTGGGCCCAGAAATAAAGAAAAATTGCAAAATCAGGCAGGGGCAGGAGCGGTGGCTAAGGCTGGGGAGGGGGATGAGGAGAAGTTCTGTGTGTGCACAGGGGAGCTGGAGCCTGCAGTGATGGAAAGCAAGGGAAGCTCTGCAGGACAATGGGGCATGGGAAGGACCCAGGGACCTGCCAGGATGGAGCAGGCACCAGGGTTCCCTTTTTGGGGACCAAAACCCTGCAGCAGCAGAGACAGGCTGGAACAGCATCTTACACAGCCCCTGTGTAGTGAATTTGTGTCTGTCTGACCACTTCACCTGCCCTGGAAAGGGGAACCCCCAGAATGCCTGAGCCTGGTGCTGAGGAGCTGCTCCAGGCAGAGAGGCTGAGGGACAGCGGGGACACGAAGAAGCAGCAATATTTTGGGAGGGCAGTCAGACACCCTGAGCACTTCCAGTGTAGCAGCTGGAGCCTTAAAGCAGCTGAGATGATGGAAAAGGGGATGGAGAGGAGATGGCACACACTTCATATCCATCTTTCTGGTTTATGGAAAACAAGTATTTTCAAGAAGCTGAATGTCAGCCTATAAACGTGGCTGGTAACAGTAACTATGCAGATATATAATGAGAGATATATAAAATATACTGCATTTAGGCTTCCAGGAAACATCTGACAGAGTGCTGTGCAATGCTTTGTTAAAACAGCACCATAAAAAAACATGTGGAGCCTATTAACAAGATTAACAACAAATTAACTGAGAAGAATGAGAATTATTCATGAGGAATTCTTCCAGTGAGTTCTGCAAGGACCTGTGCTTGGCCAAGTGCAGCTCAGTGTCCTGAATAACTCCATGAAAGAGAAGGGAACAACTGCCCTGAGTTCAGCAAGGGACATCAAATCAGGGTGCACAATGATCCTCATGGAACCCATGTCCTCCCTGAGGAATTTAGGATGAAATTTGGGTACCCAACCAAGGTGCTTCTGAGGATCCAATTTCTAAACCCACAGATCAACAGTTTAAACCTGTAAATGCATTCCAGGGAGCCCCACTCTTACACTGTGTGACCTATTTTAAGGAACAGTTGAAGAGAGCATTTGCTGGAATTGCTTTTATTCAGGCCATGAACCTCCATGTTACAATATCCAGACAGAACATTTTAACTGTGGGTGACTTCAGGCTGGGTTTACTCCATCAGAAACCTTCGTCTTTCCTTTAGGACGAGGCCAGTGCAAGCAGCTGCAGCCTGAGAGCAACAGGCCCTGAGTTCTGAGCGAGCTCTGTGCTCCAGCAGGGTGTGGGAAACAGAATCGTGTGCTGGGTTAGAGGGAAACATTAAAGCAGGGAAAGAGAGAAAAGGGCAGAGGATCAGTCCCTGTGGGTTTGCTGCCAGCCTGAGTAACTTGCTGGCTCTTTCCTGCAGGTCCCAACCCGGCAGTTCCGTGCTGCTGTCTCAGGGCAGCTGCTCAGCTCCCCTCCTGCACCTCCTCTGCCTTCCCCTTCCCACACTGCAGCTACTGCCACGATTTCAGCTCTCCTTATAGGAATTCTCAAACCAAACTCCTGGCTTTGATGATTTATAAGTAATAGGGTGTGACAAAAAATTGATCATGGCTAGGAGAACATGTTACTTTAGGATGTAACACACTGGCTGAAATGGGTTTGGAACAGGGAGAAGCAGAAAACAGCAACTTTCACCTAAAACCCACAACCTTCCCCGATTCCCTCCTGCTGCAGGTGAGCAGGACAATGACACTGGAGCATCTGCTCCCCAGACAGCCCAAAGCCCAGCCCCACCCCCAGGACACAGGGATGGGGATCAATCTACCCCTGACTGCCCCTGCTACCAGCAGAGGAAAAGCACATTTAATAAATTACTCCAAGTACCAGGCTGAGGAGCCAAGTGAGGAGCAGCTCCCTCAGAGCCCCTTTAGGATCTCTTTAATTGCATGTCTAAGCTGTTTGCCAATGGCCTTTTTAACTCATCCCTTCAGACTAATTCTCCCCTTTTTATGGGGCTTGTAGGTTATTTGGAAGAAAGCAAGAAGTGCCCTGGGATATCCACCTTCTAATTCGATGTGGGAAGCTCAAAGCTCCCATTTTTCAAGCAAACATTTTAAAACCTTAAGGCTTTTAGGAGCCAGTGCTGGGCTCCTCAGGAGAGTCTGGGCTCCAAATGAGCTGACAGGCAGAATCTCTCCTGCACAGAGCTTTCCAGGGCTTCCCTACCTTTACTGTGGAATGAATCCTCACAAGCAGCACCCAGAATCCCTTTGATCTTCCACCCCCTCATATGTGGGCAGGGCTGGATGGGGCAGCACTGGCTCCAAAGCCATTCCCCCAGCAGGATTCAGCCCTGGCACAGCCCCTGTGGCCCTTCTGGGACATCTCCACAGAGATCCCTTCACATTCCTCCCACCCACGGCCAGGACTTCCAGCTCTGCCCCTGTCAGCACAGCAGGAACCGTCCCCAGTGGGGCAGCAGGATCCTGTTCCACTTAGGAAATGTCACAGCACATGGACAGCAAAGCAGAACAGTGAGGGATGGAGAGAGGAGAAATGTGGCTGTTCATTTACCTTGGTCATTGGGCATTTTATCTGAGGACTCAGCTTAGTGGGGCAAGCACAGGGAGGAAAAAACAAGAGACACATCACAAGGATTGAAGGAGCGAGACAGAATTCCAAGTTTCCCACAGTGCAGGGTACAGCTCTTGATTCTCAGCACTAAAACTCATGTGCAGAAGTGTCCAAGGCAAGCCTGGACAGGGCTTGGAGCATCCTGGGCTGGTGGGGGTGTCCCTGCTGTGAGGTCCCTCCCAACCCAATTCTGTGATAGGTTTCTATTACAATAAACTCCAAGCTCTCTCACATTTTGCTACTTGCCCATCACCATCAGCTCCTGCTGCATCCCACGAGTTCCCAGGAGCAGATGTGGCACCAGGAGCTGGGCTGCCACTGCAGCAGCCCGGGTGTGTACCAGCCCAGCAGCCCAAAGCCCCCGGCTCTGTGGAAGCACCCCCAGAGCTGAGCTCCAGCACGGGCACTCCACGCAGCCCAGAGCCCCTGCAGAGCCCAGCGCCTCTCCCAGGAGCAGCGCCGGGGCTGGGGTACCTTTGGGGGTGCGGAACTGCACGGCCTCGGACATGGGCCCCATGCCCTTGGAGTTGCGGGCCTGGATCTTGAAGAAGTAGGGGGTGTCCAGGGTGAGCTCCTGGATCTGGTGCGTCAGCCTGTTGCCCACCACGGGCTCGATGACCCAGTCGTGGATCTCGGCGTTGACGTCCGTGCTGTAGTAGATGATGTACCCTGGGGGAAGGGACAGCTCCAGCCTTGGGGACGGGGGACAGCAGCCCACGGGCACGGCTGTCTGCCCGGGCAGCCTCCAGCGCCTTCCCAGGCTGCTCTGCCTCTGGCAAACACTGAAACCATCTTCAAAAATCAGCCTGCCCTCCCATCTTCCCTCTGAGCTCCTCAAAATGGACGGTAAGAGCAAAAAGCCATTTAAAATATCTCAAGGTTATTTCTGATCACCGTTCCCTGAACGAGGGCAAATTGCTATTTCCATCTCTTTACCTATTTAAATAAAATAAAGCTGCCATTTTCAAAACATTCTCAAAGAATTTATATGGTATTATTTAAATTACATTAAACCAACAAAACATTCTCATACACTGTTAAACAACTTTTTATAATTATTTCATTATTTTTCAGTGTATTAATAAAAGCAACAAGAATCTGAAAAGAACTGAGGCTGCCCTGCACATCCCAGAAGAAAAGGTATGGGAAGAGTTTATGTTCTGTTATTAAAATGCAGTGAAGTCACCAATCATTATGCAGTAAAAGCTCTATAACTTTTTTATACAAGAAGCACAGATCAGCATAAAATAAATACTTGAACCTCTATATATTTATATACACATAGAAATAAATACTTGAATCTGTATTTAATGTATATTGTATGTAACACAATATACATGAGATATTTTCATATCTTGTTTATATATTTCTATCACTATTTATATCTATATGTAGCTTCAAGTATTTATACGTAACATATATGGAAATACAAATTTTTATATTACTATATATCTGTTATATATGTATGTTGTATCTACATCTGCAATGTATGGGAAATGGATTTGTAGAGAATATATATATTATATAAAAAGTATATATTTTATATATATATATATATATATATATATGAAAAAAAAAAAGAAATTATGCTAAAAGCATCATAACAGTCTAGAGGCACAAGTACTGAATTAATTTCAGAGTGTCCTAATTAGTCAGCAGCTCTAACGATGCCCGAGCATGTGGGACCCAGAGTGGCCCAGCTCAGCGTTCCATGGACAGGGGGCCATGGAATGACATCACCACTCGGAATTCTGGCATCACTGACAGCACAGAGTGAGTTAATGAGTGATTAATTAGTGCCTCGGCTGATGGGGCTGTTCCCAGCAGAGGGCACTCGGGCCCCACATCCCAAAAACTGT